CTCAACACAGACACACTCCGTTTATTTCTGCTTTTTCCTGTTATTTTCCTTACTCAAAGCGCAAGTGACCTTAGATTGAAAACAGTTTAAATCCAGCTCAAATCAGATTTAAATTTGAATATCCACTGCAGTAGAAGTTGTTTCAAAACACCACAATGACTTGATTAGCAGATTGCTTTTATCCCACCTGCTCATCTGTGCAGGGAAATGTAGAGGAGCAAATTGTGGTCTTAAAACAACTATCCTGTTTAAGCTGCAGAGGCAGTAGTGGGAAGTTTAATTTAATTAGCATGATAATCAGAGATGTAACTTAATCACATTAAGTATAGATCAACGTGCTCTCATTTAAGCTCTCCAGGCTCCAGAAAATAGGGGCCAATCGTCTCCCACCTGTCTTTAATCCAGGGAGAAGAAGAATGTTCCAAGAGAAAGGAATCAGCAAGGCTTGGGGAGAGTTTGGCCTTGTGCTTCTTTCAGCTGATTTTTCCCCAAAGGAAGGTAATAAATTAGCAATTTATTACCCCTGTGTAGCAGGGTTGCTCCTGGATGGCAGGTTTAGGTCAGATGGTCTCATCCTGGGCTGGAGAAGCTTCATAGAGACTGGAGCTGTGCCAGGCTGTACCTGACATGGTGCTGTGCCCAGCTTCTCAGGAACCTGGCACCTTCTCTGTGCCAGCATCCGCAGGTACGCAGAGCCACAGCTCTGCTCTGCCCCAGGGAAAATTTGGGGCCAGGGGAGCAAGTGAGCTGCCTCTGCCCTGGTAATTACACTCACTGCTATCTCATGGTGCTCCCACACGGTGTTTGATGAGGCCAGGACACGTCATCATGGGTATTTATTAGTGTGTATTAATTGCCTGTCCAGGCTGTAGGGCCTGTGGTCACCAGTACATGACAGGCAGGGTGGCAGAGCTACAAGCACGGCTGGAGCCCCTGGTCAGGGCCAGCTCCTGACTGGGCTGTGGATCTCAGGTCAGACCAGGAAAGCCTTGGGCTCCTGTGTCTTTGGTCCTTCTCCTCCCACACCCCTTTTTAGGGGAAGGGGACCCCATCCACAGGGTTCTCCATGGACAGACCCCTGGCAAAGGCTGCTGGGCAGAGGAGATGTGCTGGTGCAGCTCGTGAGAGCGGCACTGGACTTCCTGCCCTGGGGGTCCACAGCCAGTGTCCATAAGGAGCAGAGCTGCAGTCATAGGGACAAACCAGGCACACAGTCCCCAGCATGGCACAGCAGTCCTGTGCCACTTGCAGGGAGCCCAACCTTAGGCCAGGGTGAATCCCTGGGCTGGGATCAGAATCCTGAGGGTCAAGTCAACGCTCAGTGACTGCAGAGGGGAGCTGTGACCCCCACCAGCAGCACCCAGAGCTGTCCAGGACAGATTCCCGTGGATCCTAGAATCTTTCTGGGATCTGTCTGGTTCAGGGATCACATACTCCCAATCAAGCTGTGCCTGTTGCTGCAACTTTGTAACATTTGTGCTGCCACCACCTTTGTTGACAGGAAATAAACAGCGAAAAGCAAACAGAGGACACGGAAATAGGTTTTCCGCTACAAGGGATATGGCCCAGGTCTCCTCCTGGCCCCTGTAAGGTACAGAAGGGAGTGAATTCAGATTAAGCCTGAGCCTGGAGCTCCCTCCTGTTCTCCTGCCAGTCCAGGTACTGGAGGGGAACCATTTGGAGCATCATTCCTGCTGTCTCCAGAGCCACCAAGCACCAGCATGGAGCGAAAGGCTCCGAGGCAGAGGGTGCAGCTCAGCTCTGGGA